GCCGAAAGCACTGGTAGCCTTAGCAATCCGATGCATGATTTCATCATCTAAAGTTCCAATGTAGTTGACTTTACTACCAAGATAGGTGAAAGACTTTATATATATATATATATATATATATATATATGGACAAAATGGACAATTTATTTAATAAAGACATTTTTTATGTTTAACGTTCTTTTTTTTATAGATACAAGTATTTAAGTAAATGTCTGTTTATAATAAACAGTATTAAATAACATTTACTGGCCTGAATGTCTGAGAAATTTTCATAGAAAATATTCGTTCTTTGACAGGATTCGAACCTGCATCCTATACGGATATATATATATACAGGATGTATTCAGGCCGGTAAATGTTATTTAATACTGTTTATTATAAACAGAGCATATACTTAAGTACTTGTATCTATAATAAAAAAGAACGTTAAACATAAAAATGTCTTTTTATATATATATATATATATATATATATATATATATATATTAGATTGTCACACATGAAATGACAACTTTATAACAAATAAATAAAACGCTTCTGAAATATTAAAAAACTAATTTATTTAGTTGAAATAGTTAACATATTGATAAATGATTGTTCTTCAACCTATCTCTAATTTCTTGATCCCATCTTTAAAAAAATTCTCATCATTTGATGTGATAAAATGTTTAAATGCTTCGTTTACCTCTTCCTTATTGGAGAATGAAAAGCTCAAAATGCTTAAATAAGTGATAATCAGTAGGAGAGATATCAGGTCAATATGGAGAATGAGACAAATTTTCATAATTCAGGCTATGCAGGTTTTGCACAGTTGAGTGAAAAGCGTGCGACCATACGTTGTCGTACAGCAAAATTGGGCCATCCCTATTCACAAGTCTAGGATGTTTCTTTTCGATTTTTCGTGCATACACTCGATTTCTCTACAATACGAGGTTTCTGTTATTGTTTTCCTTTGAGGCAAGAATGGATAATGAATAACCCCTTTGAAAGACCACCATAGAGCAACCATTAACTTTTTAGGGTGCAGTAGAAGTTTTTGGTATTACTTTGGTGATTCACTTGCGTCTAACCACTGGCTTACTCCCTTACTGTTGTTAAAGAGTATCCATTTCTCATCGCATTTATTGATTCGATGCAAAAATGCTGCTTTCTCCAAGTCTGTTCTCGTACAGTAAGATCATTTGATATTGTTTCATTGTAATCATTTTCATTGGGTTTATGAGTAACAATATATTGAAAGAGAAATTATCTGGAATGAAAAGGAATCAGAAATAACTCAACATTTATATACTAAGAAGGTTGCTTCGTTAGACGATCGAATCAACAACCAACCAAAAAATGCGTTATGTGTAAAAACATAATATAACAATGGAAATAAAGATAAAATCGCAGCAAATGGGAAATGCCCCTGTGATTCATGTTTATATCTCACCAATGACAGGTAAATGCAAGGATTTCGAACGCTGACCTTCTAGGTATGTAATCTGTGCCATAATTACGAAAAAAGACATATCGTTAAAGAATAGTTCACAGTTTACTCTTGTTGATAATTAAACTTGCTCTCCTATTCTTGTGACCTTGTGCCAGTCTAAGATAAACTTAAATTACGAAAAGGCAATTTGTCATGGAGCAAAGGTTACTTCATAAGAGATCAGAACAGAATGGCTGTAATTATTTACACTATTTACAATGTTCAGACCTCATTTTTGTTTGCCGTATTTACGACGTTTCGGCCGTTGTGTGCTCCGACTGGAATTTCAAACCGAACCCTTTGTTTCATCCACCCGGGGTAGATTGTTCTAGTTCCACGTACCATGCCTCCTCATAAGACTGTGATCCCTCGCTAATTCGCGATTCTACTATCGCGTATTCACGACTTCGCGGATTTTTAAAATATATATATGGAAAATATATCGCAGAGTTTCTGGAAAATTCTAGAAAAATCGCGATATATGAACACCTAAAATTTTTCATTAAACCCATTAAAATATTAATAATAAATATTATTTCCTGGTCTAGGAATTACAAAACAAGCGTAAAATAGCAATAGAAAGGGCACCGCCGTCTGAAGAGACGTAAAATACAATCATCGGCTGCACAGTAAAAGTCACCATCAGCTTCATCATAATCATTTCTACTGCGCAGCAAATTCATCACCATCATCATTCAAATTCTACTTCAGCTTCTATCGTGTTGAATACAGTAACAATCTTTATTTTTTTAATATCTAAAGTGTTATTGCTTAACAGTTGTCCTTGTTATTAATAGAGTACTGTAATGGGTGGGTTGTTAACAGTACAGGGAGGGTTTTAAAAGTCCAAATACACGTTAAATAAATACTGTAAATATGGCGTCCATACTTCGCGGAAATTCAGTTATCGCGGCCGGTTTTGGAATCAATCTACCGCGATAAACGAGGGATCACTGTACATATCTCCTACATATTGGTAAGACATTAGTTAGATAAAGTCAACACTGTCAGTAACGACCTACCATTACGTGGGAACTATTTCTTGGGTGGGGTATGTGTCGGAGGTATTTTTGCCGCAACCTGTATTATATTATATTATATTATATATTATTTATTTTAACTGTGTTTTCTTCTATTTTGAATACGAATCAGAACCTTTACCTGACGGTGTTTCTAGCTGAGCCACACCTGTAATATTATGTGTTGATTTTATGAAATTCACCTAATCACTGTGCTGCTTTTCCGAAGTTGGAAATCGAACACTGTTCTTCATTTCTGTTGTTTCTGGCACTAACCATAATACTAACAGTGCCTCTGAGAAGTGCACGGCTTTGGGATGCAGACAAAAGTGCTGACTGGGTCGAGAAACGTTGTATGTCATCAGCATTTCTAACCAGTGTGAGTTATCCTTGAAATTCGAAACCGCTTATCCCTGGTGGTCTCTCGGTCAGGTACGACACCTACTGGCCTGCTTTAGCGACTCAACGTGACTATAAGCATGTAAGTTAGAAAATGATTGACAGAGACTAGAAATGGAGGGGGGGGCTTTCGAGTAGAGAAGGAGGCAAAGCCGGCTTTTGGTCGAATGACCTTTTGACGATGAGATATCTATTTCAGTCCTTTGTTGAAAGACCCGTTGCGTTAGAAATGTCAACGATTTTGTCTAGTAATCTACACATCAACAAGTAAAGTTTGTAAAAATGATTTCTGTTAAATTCACACCCTAGTCGCCCCTGCTTCAGAATCTTTTTAAATGAAAACGCCTAAAATTTTCCGCACTCAGAATGATTTTCAAAAATGATAAAACAATTAAATACTTCAAAGGGAAAATATCTACAAAACACGGCATTCGTTTATTTAGTGTTGATATCACAGGTAGGATTCATAAATCAAATTCGTTGAAACATTCAATCACTGTAATTATAAGAGTTGAACAGAAAATATTAAACCGTATGCAAACATTTATTGATTTATTTATAATCGATTTCTTATTGGGAAAAGAATTGTAGCGTTTTGTCTGTTGCTTTCTCCACGGTACGGAATTGTTTTCTTTCTCGGAGACTGGTGACCAAAAAAAGTTAGAGAGCCCAGTCTACCCTGCTATTTTTCCTAAGTGAGAAGACAGATATTCCTCCATTTCCAAAATGTATTTGTGCAAAAAGGAATATAACAAACTCGATCGTAATGGAACTCAATTCTCCAATTACTCTATCCACGCCGAAAACTGATTCACCCATCTCACATCCAGAATTTGAATTAACGTATTTTCCGGCTTACAAGACGCACTTTTTTTTCTAAAAAGTACTCTGAAAAATGCGTGTGAGTTTTCCCAGACTAATGTAAGGTATGGCCAAGAATCAGATAAGCTTGGACGGTCACCTAAATGACTTGACTGATAGGGACGTGGATTTGTATGTTGAGTCATTACACTATCATATTAGCTATCTATCTATCTAATTCAGCCTTTTATATAATGTAACCTCAGTACTTAGTGGTATTTCTAAAACTATAGACCTTCCTGGAGCCGAGCCACAAGCTTAAACATGCTCTGTTTTCTAGCATCGGCGGGAGCTTTTCCGCACTTGATAGTATGTCATCGCAATACAAACAAAATCGGACGAGTGATAAATGTAAACAATACGTGGCGCCAGTATTTGAGGGACGGATGGTGAATGTGTTATTGTATGAGAATGACTTATTTTTTCTTAGAAATTTCTTTCCAATATAAGGGTGCGTCTTCCATGCCGCAACGCCTTGTAAACCGGAAAATACGGTACTTATTTTATATTAAGACATTTTTATGTTCATACATTCTTTTTGTACCGATTGGGCCACAGAGGATTGTTCGGTTAGCAAGGTCGATTTTACTGCTTTTAAACTACAATCTTCCATGATTCTCTCACATACATTCATATCTGCTCAGCGTATGCAAATGAAACAAATGACGTCATACATGAAATGGACAAATCCGACAATTATTTTAAGACGAATATTTTCTATGAAAATTTCTCGGACATTCAGGCCGGTAAATGTTGTTTAATGCAAATGTCTTAAAATAATTGTTTAACTTTGTCATAATGTGTGACGTCATTTGTTCATTTGATACGCTATGAGCAGATATGAATGTACGTGAGAGATTCATAGAAGATTGAAGTTTAAAGACAGTAAATTCGACCTTGCTAACCGACCGCTCCTTCGCGGCCAAATCGGTAAAGGCACGTCAAGCTAAATGACGGTTCCGTGTAGGATACAGGTTCGAATTCTGTCGCTAGACGAATATTTTCTGTGAAAATTTCTCGGACATTCAGCCCGGTAAATGTTATTTAATACTGTTTATTATAAACAGAGCATTTACTTAAATATTTGTATCTATAAGAAGAATGTATAAACATAATAATGTCTTAAAATAATTGTCGGACTTTGTCCATTTTATACTTCTTAATAAAATATTTCACCGTTCTCTCATTTAAGATTTGGACAGTTATTGACCATAGATTCTTACTACACGCTCGTGTTTTGCTTTCTATAGGTTCCTGCGACTACTCGCTATCGCTGTTGCATTGTGGGTAATTATTGATGTAGGAATCAGACGACCTGCGAACCTTATATCATTGGCGGGCATCGCTTTTTACGTTTTACTCTTCTTCATCTTCTCTATCGATCGATCAAAGGTAAGTAGAATATTCATCTAATTCTCAGCTCCCGTATATATATATATATATATATATATATATATATATATATATATATATATACAGTAGCGTCCAAAACTAAGGGACAAAATTTTAAAACCTAATATTTGTTAGAAATAACAACTGTTAAAAGCTGAAATTTTGACAACTGGTAGTCGTTATCATCCATAATAACATACTAAAATTTGAATCATTTGCAAAGGATAGAAAAAGAATTATAACAATTATTTATTTATTTTCAAAAAAGGATCGTCCAAAAGTAAGGGACAAAATTGAGAAAAACAATGTAAACAGTATGCTATATTCAAATTTTTTGATTTCCTCTAAAAAATAAGTCTTACTTAGTCATTTGTAAACGTTGCATCAACCGGCACCATGGCGAAATGCCAAAAACTTGATTACTCTGTGAGACAAGCTATTGTGAAGCTACACAAGGAAAAGCACACCATTAGAGAGATTTCAGAGAAAGTGATACTGGCAAAATAGTGCTTTTAAAACCGGCAGACCCCGCAAAACTTCGGCAAGAGAAGATCGAATAATGCAGCGTATGTCATTAAAGGACCGTTTTAAGTCTTGCACAGAAATTAAAAGGGTTATGAATAGTAACTCATGTGTTAATGTGTCAAGACAGACTGTTTTTAGACGACTGCAAGAAATAGGGCTGTTTAATCGAACCCCAGGGAAGAAACCACTTGTTAGTTCGAAGAATAAGAAGAAGAGATTAGAGTTTGCAAACAGGTATGTAATTTGGACATATGAAAATTGGGCAAAAGTATCTTTCAGTGATGAAAGCAAGTTTAATTTATTTGGAAATGATGGAAAAAACAATGTAAAGAGACGTATTGGTGTAAGATTAAGTGCAAAGTGTGCTAAGAAAACTGTCAAGTTTGGGGGCGGAAGCGTCATGGTATTTGGAATGTTTTCTAGCCAAGGTACAACGCCTCTTGTCCGGTTACAAACTCGTGTAAACGCGCAGATCTATAAAAACTTTGTTCAAGATCATGTTGTGCCAATCATACAGAATTCAGGTTTCGATAGGGCTTCCTTTATGCAAGATAATGCCCCATGTCACCAGGCAAAGGTGGTAATGAGTTACCTTAGCGAGCAAGATTTGGAAATTATGGATTGGCCACCGCAAAGTCCTGACTTAAATCCAATAGAAAATCTTTGGAAGACCTTAGGAGTGAAAGTTATGGAAAGAAATCCCACTAACACGGAGGATTTGTGGGTGAAGCTTCAAGAAGAATGGTCTAAAATTAGTATCGAGGATTGTCAAGAACTGATTCGTTCTTGCAGTCGAAGATGTGCAGCTGTCATTGAGAGCAAGGGCTCATTTACTAAATATTGATTGTACATGTATTTTTATTGTTTTTTTTTTTTGCCGTTTACATTGTTTTTCTCAATTTTGTCCCTTACTTTTGGACGTTCCAAATTTGAAAATAAATAAATAATTGTTATAATTCTTTTTCTATCCTTTGCAAATGATTCAAATTTTAGTATGTTATTATGGATGATAACGACTACCAGTTGTCAAAATTTCAGCTTTTCACAGTTGTTATTTCTAACAAATATTAGGTTTTAAAATTTTGTCCCTTAGTTTTGGACGCTACTGTATATATATATATATATATATATATATATATATATATATATATATATAGGGTGCGATGGATAAATTGTCTCCGTTTTATATTTCTAATTTCGCGCATGCGCGTTGTTTGTTTTTATTTTTTGTTTTCTTTTTTCGACTGCACAGTATAGCAGAGCCAACTGGGCACCGTCTCTGAGAAAAAGAGCACCATAACGCAATTCACTCTGCCAGACATTAGGAAACGGCATATCGTACTGCTTGGCATTCGCGCCGGATGCTCCAATATGGACATTTCAGAGTGTTTGTGTGTCAATTTAAATGCAGAGGATTCGGAAAGAGTTGAATGAGTCTAATGGTGATTACGAAGATGGTTGTAGTGATCACTAGTGATGGCGACATTATGTCTCCACTCATCTTCCTACAAGCCCTCAAACTTAACACAGAGGCCTACATGAAGTATCTTGTGAAGGTAGTTCTGCCCTGATTCAAGAGGGTGGCTTCTGAAAGTCCATATGTCTGACAACAGGACTCTGCACTCTGCCACACAAGCAGGAGAAAACAGTCACGGCTGTCAGCCAATTTCTGCGATAATGTCACCTCTTACATCTGGCAACTTAACTACCCAGACTGGAACACCCTTCATTATTATGTGGGGGCACGTTTCAGCAAGAGAGGAACAAAACTCTTTGTAACATCAAAGATAAAATGAAGACATGTATTATATCAGCATTCACCAACTTAAACACTAAGACCATCTAGAAGATTTGCAGGGGATCTTGAAGTCGTCTGGAAGCCGGGGTTGAAACCAATGGCGATTTTATTGAATAAATTAACTCTTTATTATTTCAGGATATTTTTGTGTAATTTTGATAAATATATCTTTTAAAATGAGATGCCAGTGTTATTTTCACTTTTGCGGAATTTAGTCAACAATTTATCCATCTAAACCTATATGTATATAGTTGGTGTAGCAGGAATACCACACACACACACTTCCCAGAAAATCCTCCCCCATAATGGTAAGACGTTTGCGATATGAAGCTACCATTGCCACTCACGTTTTATCATTATGTGGGAGGTATTTCATGGGGTATCATATATGCTGACGTACAAGACAACTCGGCGTATAAGACGACCCCCACATTTTGGAGTTAAAATGTTTCATTTGATCTATATTCAGTATTTACATTAGTCGGACTATTGTCCTCATCTTTGTCGCCATATTTGTCACAACGTTTCGGCCGTTGTACGCTCCGGCCTTCTTCAGGTGGTTGGAATTTCGAACTGAACCCTTTATTTCGATTACTGGGGTAGACTGTTCTAGTTCCACGTGCCATGTTTGATGGATGTCAGTTATCGGTTATCTCCTGCTAATTTTCCCTCTGAAAGTTCTCCACTGCCTTAGCCAGGTATTGAACTCACCTTCTTTGGGTCTGTCACTGGATCTAACCAACGCCTTTATCCACTGCGCCATGTGTCCTTGAGGAAGGCCGGAGCGTACAACGGCCGAAAAGTTGTGACAAATATGGCGACTAATGTAAATAATGTACATAATACCTCATCTCAGAAATATAGACTGATCTATATTCGTCGTACAAGACGATCCAATATATCGTATTTTAGAATGTAAAATATTGAATTTATTTCACTCAAATTTTTTTCTCACTCAAATTCTAATGAAAAAATGGTGGCGCGATATTGTCAATTAATTACCCCAATTAACAATACCTCATGAGTGGGTGCTGTGTTTTCGGTCGACTATTACGACAGCCTGAATGAATTTTCCCTGCTAACAATCTATTCGTTTCTTGAATGCGATGTTGTGTGACGATGGTTTTCTGATTTTTCTTTTGGCGAATATGAGCACATAATATATAAAGTAAGGGTATTTTTATTACACAATACTTTTATTAGTTCATTGCAATAATGTGAATTAAGTTATTTCAGTTGAAAATATTTGTGTCAATAGTTACTAAGTCAGTGGCTAGCCTTCCGTCAAAAATCTCCCATGCTAACAACATAAACCACAGGATTTAAGGTTCACATTTTATATCTGGAGTATAAGACGGCCCCTTATTTTGAGGGGATTTTTTAAGGTTAAAATGTCGCCTTCTACGCGGACATATACGGTATATATGTTGGCATATGTGGGAGGTATTTCTTCCGCACTGAGTATATATCACTTCAAATGTTACTTTACGTCGGTAACCGTATTTGAGTAGAGGGCCTATTTTATTTTTTAAATAGCGTGCCTCTAGCAGTCAGCACAACTCGAGAAAACACTCCTGTTTTAAAAATAAACAGAGCGTCTACCGGCCTGAATATTCGAGAAAACTTATCAGATTAACAAGAGGATCACATGTCAAAGCTAAATTGTTTGTCAACTTTTCATGACAAGTATGCTGTATATATTCAATGTACAGACAGGATCCGCTTAAAATAACTTCAAAAGTGTGCACTTTTCGGCGTATTCTGTTTTCTGTTACCCGAAATTAGCCCTCACGGCATGAACATTTCAGTTTTATTCAAATATAGGTGCGAACGTTTACATATACGCATGTGTATTTTAATGACAGATTTAAAAAAAAATATTCGGACTTTGAATAAGTTCTGGCTGACTTTTCATGAAAAGAAATGTTTTATTCACAAATATGAGTAGGAAACATGTCACTGAAAGTATTGTCCATCGCGAGCAAATACTTTTTTCCCATCTTCCTGGCAGCATTTGAATTCCATGTCGGAAAAACAAAATGTCTTTTGAGGCTAACCACAAGTCGATCAATTTTTTGGTATCTTCATAAGAATGAAATTGCTGCTCAGCCAGGCCATGTGCCATCGATCGGAACAAGTGATAATCGGACGGGGCAATGTCTGGTGAATACGGCGGGTTGGGTAAGACTTCCCAGTGTTTTCACGTAGGTTTTCACCAGTTTTGCAGCATGTGGCCTAGCGTTGGCATGTTGCAAAATTACTTTGTCGTGTTTCTGCTCGTAGAGCGGCCATTTTTTCTTCAATTCTCGGCTCAAACGCATCAATTGTAGTCGATAGCAATCTCCCGTGTTGGTTTCGGTCGGTTTGAGCAGATCATAATAAACTACACCCAACTGATTCCATCAAATGCATAGCAGAAGCTTCGAATCATGGATATTCGGCTTTGGCGCCGATGTTGATGCATGGCCGGGCTTACCCAACGATCTTCTACGCTTAGGGTTATCGTAGTGTATCCACTTTTCATCGCTGGTCACGATACGATGCAAAAAAACTTTTCCTTTTATGCTGTTAAAGCAGCTGTTCACACGTGACAAGAAGCCGTTCGACGTCTCTCGGCTTCAACTCGTACGGCACCCAATGTTCTTTTGAATCATTCTTAATGCTTTCAAACATTTCGGTACTGTTGTATGATCAACTCCCAATGATTGTTCAAATTCAGCTTTCGCCTGACATGAGTCTTCATGAAGTAATACCTCCAGTTCTTTGTCATCAAACTTTTTCGGCGCACCAGAGTATTCTTTATCTTCAACATCAAAATCGTTATTTTTGAAGCGTCTAAACCAATCTCTGCATGTTGTTTCCGGCAGAGCATGGTCGCCGTAACACTCAACAAGAATTGTGTGCTCTTCAGCTGCAGATTTCTTTTGAATGAAATAGTACAGTAAATTTCCCCGCAAATATACTTTCTTTGGCACCTGACATGTGTAACAATATGAAAAACAATGTTGTTTACACTTCGGCGAGATGGCATACACCAAATTCCAAGCTGGCTTATATTAATTCCTTATATATATATATGCTTTACCATCTGAAACTGCACGCAGTTCTGGAAACGTCATCTGTTGCAAAACAGCGAGAACTTATTCAAGGTACTAATATTTTAAAAATCTAAAGTCTTTTGGAAAAGAGGCGTAGCCGTACTAATTACGCTTGACCAATTACGGGTTGGTGAGGATATTGAATCCATAGGATGGTGGTCTTTAATTCAGCGCTGTCCTTCTTGTAGGCAGGTTGTATTCTGTCCAGCTATTTTACCCAGAGAATGGTTTATACTTTGTCCAAGTTTATTTTTTGAATCGAATTCACCCCAAGCAAAGCAATAAAGCCACTAAGACACATCGGGTTACTTGTTTGAAAGAATGAGAAAACAGATACATTACTAAGGAGCCAGAAGAAAAAAAGAATAATCAGGAGGACAGATGAAGCGATTGACATTGCATTTAAATTTTTGAATATCAAAGTTGGCTGAAAAGCATGGAACCGAAAGAGAGTTCCACAAGTGAAGAAACTGTTAGCATAGATCTTACGGTCACATCTAGCCATTTCAGCTATAAAATGTTGAGACCTAGCTGCCAATCTAGTAATGCGATTAAATTCATAAAGTTTAGACAACATAGCAAAGAGCTCATTCGAACAATTACCATGAAAGTATTTATTGACACAATTTACATTGTTCGGACTGTTGTCCTCATCTTTGTTGTCATATTCACGACGCTTCGACCGTTGTTAGCCCCGGCCTTCTTCAGGTTATTGGAATTTCGAACGAGAGATGAGTTACTAAGTGAAAATAACTGAAACTGAGATATCCGGAAGAGGCGTAGCACGTGGAACTAGAACAATCTTCCCTCTGTAGACGAAATAATGGGTTCGGTTCGAATTTCCAATCATTTGAAGAAGGCATACATAACAGGGCGACTTGGGCACCTCGAGGCAGTGTAATGGTTAGCAAGCTTGTCTTACTAGAACAATTACGACTGAGTAGTGAGTTCGATCCTCACTGGGTGCCCCATACTTTCGGCCTTGTGCCACATCTAAGCTACAAAGGAGGGCGCCGCAGTGAGTGCTATATGTGCAAATAGTCAACCCCCTCAAACTGTGGTCAAAACGCTATGAATGTATGAAAATAGGTTTTAATACCAGCAATAATTTTTTTGTTAAATTTTTTACCAGCAATACATTTTTAGAAAAAAATATTACGAGCAATAAAATTCTTGTTGGCATTAAATAACCCATTAAGGTGTTGATATGCCGTAAAATAGTCCAAACAAAACTGACCACAGACAATCCCTTTATTTCTGATTTTCAGTGCATTTTTATAGTAAAATTATTAGCAATATATTTACATATAATAGCTCTGTTCTATTAGTAATGTTTGCATTCATTCCTGACCATTGATAATCCCTTTCTTCTTGATTTTCAATGCATTCCTATAGTAAAATTATTAGCAATGCATTTACATTATACATATGATAGCCCTATTCTATCAGATTGATATGCCGTAAAACAAACACTTCTTTAATCAAACTGACTACATGATATTAATGACTATAATTTCTTTTTCAGATCAAATGGCATACTGTGTTCTGGGGTTTAATGCTGCAGATGATTATCGCCATATTTATTATCAAAACCAAAGAAGGTTTTACGCTATTTTATTGGATTGGCGAGAGAGTGACAGATTTCTTGAGACACAGTGACGTCGGTTCCAAATTCGTTTTTGGCGATGCCTACACTGCACATCCGTTCGTCTTTATTGTAAGCTAACAACAAATTTTCAACTTCACTACACTTACAGAACGAGGCAAAAAATGAACGCACACGCAGAATGTTGATTTTTTGGTGGGGGGATTTTTTTTACCAAGACAAGTGAGTAATAGAATTCATTTATTAATATAGGTGTGCATATGTACATTATATAAGTTAAAAAATGATTTAGAATTTTGTTGTGTAACCTTTTACTTTAATAAGAGTTTTAATTCTTCGTGACATGCTGTAGACTAAATTCTTTATTAAATCAACGTCCTTCACCAGATTTTTCTAGCATTCCTTTAATTCACGAAAAAGTCGTAACCTTTAACCCAACTGAAAACCGTGATAGGAAAGTTAACACAGAAAGACATTAAATAACGCAAAACCTGTCTATAGCAGGCCACGAAGAATTAAGGCCGTTATTAAAGCAGAAGGTGGCCAAACAAAATACTAAATCATTTTTTGACTTGTATAATGTCCATATGTACATCTGTATTAATAAACGAATTTTATTACTTGTCTTTTTTTATTTTTTTTTAAACAAGCAAGGCGGCAGTGCCACTAACACACCAGGGGTTACAGAGGATTGAGAATAAGAGAAAAGAGTCATGTTTGAGGAAAGGGTACAGAAAAGGGCGGGGAGCAAGCTCAGGGTGTCAGATGTCGATTGACATTACACTTGAATATTCGAAGATTATAGTCATCGGGGAAGCAAGTAAAGGGAAGAGAGTTCTACAGACGGGAAGCGCGGGTGAAGAAGCTGTTTAAGTAGAAGAGACGGTTGCATTTAACCGTTTTGACGGTGAAAATGTGGGACCGAGATGCCAGCCTGGAAGCGCGTTTAAATTCATGAAGTCTGGGAACTAGGGAAAGTAGTTCGTCGGAACAGTTGCCGTGAACATACTTGTAGAAGAGACAGAGTGGGGACACGGCACGTCTGTGGGAAAGCGATTGTAGACTAGACCTATCATCTTGCATATTCTTCTCTGGATTTTGTCGAGAACCTCGAGACGTACAGCGGTGGCACCAGACCATATATAGCAGCAAGATTCAATGCAAGGACGAATGGTTGATTTATAGATTTGAAGGATGGACTCAGACAAGAAAAACAGAGACTCAACTTTCCTTGCGTTGGATGAAGCTGTTGATTCAATGTATTTATTCCACCTCATGTTAGTGGAGAGCGTAAGACCAACCAGGCGTAACGAGGCGCTCTCAAGGAGTTGGGAATCAGGCATTTTGATGGGAAGCAGGAAGGGTTTTCTGTGCTGGTAAAAATACAAAAATCGACTGTCTATGGGTGCGTCCTTTTTTTTTTTGTCTCATACTGTATATTCCTATAGTAAAAGACGTTCACAATGCATTTATATTGTAAACATTATATCAAGATTCAATCAGTGATATTTGCATTCATTTCTGGTCGATGACAATCTCTTTCTTTCAGGGTTACGTTGAATTACTACAGCAACTTAACTAGCAATATATAGGGTGCTCCAATAACATGGACCGATTTTAAATGTGAATTAAGCTTAATATTTTTTTTCTTTTTTTTTCAGATTTAACAACTTAAGTCTTTGGCAATTTCAACCATGGAAAGATTAACAATCAAACAACGGGATAAAGTTATCGAAGCCTATTACGAAAATGGACGTTCAAATTTATAAATATACAGCCCAATGATTCCGCTAGGAAAAAAATGCACACCAAACAGTGATCTTTTGTGGATGCAGGGTCTTTTAAAAAATCTTCCTTGGATTTTCATCAGCCCAAATGCGACAATTCTGCATATTAAAGAATCCACCAAGATTAAAATGGATTTTATCACTAAAGAGGATTTTTTGCGAAAAATCTTAATCAACTTGTCTTTGCTCGTGCAACCAATTGATGAATGTACGGCGGTCCAAATGACCAGCAGGTTTCATTTTATGTGTCAATTGAATTTTGTAACCATGTAGAGACAAGTCTTTTGCCAAAATTCGATGTAACATTGTTTTGGAGGGGGGTTCAATTCCTGCATGTGATGACGAATAGTGGGGTCTGGATTTTCGGCTACATTCTCATGCACTGCAACAATGTCTTTAGCTGAACGGCGTAAACGAGCACGCAATGGAGTTTTCACATCTTCTACCGACCCAGTTTGTGTGAATTTACAAATAATTTTCCCAATTGCACTCTCGGTTGGTCGATTATGTTATTTAAAAAATCGCGAACTGCGCGAAATGCATTTCTGTTTGAACGTCCATTTTCGTTATAGGCTTCGATAACTTTAACATGTTGTTTGATTGTTCATCTTTTCATGGTTGAAATTGCCAATGATTTAAGTTGTTAAATCTGAAAGAAAAAAGATAAAATCATTAGACGCTAAAACTTAATTCACATTTAAAATCGGTCAAAGTTATTAGAACATCGTATATTTATAATATACATATAATAGTCCTATGTAACCGGTGATGCTTACATTAATTTCTGACTAATGACAATTTATTTCTTGTCCATTTTCGAGACATTTCTCTAGTAATTTCGTTAGTAGTACACTTACATTTCTGTCGACGATGCTCAAATTAACTGCTGACCACAGATCAGCCCTGGGTTTGACGATAAACTACACCCAACAGAAAGTCTCTGATCAGAAGGTTTTGAGGAGCGTGGAACCACCTTTAAATTAATGGTGTTCCAAGTTCCACCCTGACCCAGGATGGCAGCACCTGTTAGGGACCCAGCTATGGGAAAATAGTTACCTCCCCCCAACAAAAAAACTGGTGTCAAAGCACCATGAAATTTAAAAATAGGTTTTAATACCAGCAGTATATTTTTGTAAAAGCTCATTACTTGCAATGAATTTTAAGGAAAAAATGTTACTAGGAATACATTTTTGAAGAAAAAATATTACCAGCAATAAAAATAATGTCGGCATTAAATAACCCATTGAGGTGTTGATATGCCGTAAAATAAACCAAACTGACCACAGACAATAACTTTCTTTCTGATTTTCAGTGCATTTTTATAGTAAAATTATTAGCAATACCTTTAAATTATACATATAATAGCCATGTTCTGTCAGTAATGCTTGCATTCATTCCTGACCATTGATAATCCCTTTCTTCTTGATTTTCAATGCATTCCTATAGTAAAATTATTAGCAATGCATATACATTATACATATAATAGCCATGTTCTATTAGTAATGCTTGCATTCATTTCTGACCATTTACAATCCCTTTCTTCTTGATTTTCAATGCATTCTTATAGTAAAATCATTATCAATGCATATACATTATACATAAAATAGCCATGTTCTATTAGGAATGCTTGCATTCATTCATAACTATTGATAGTCCGTTTCTTCCTGACTTGCATTACAGAACATACAGATATCGAAACTTACTCAAACAAATTTTAGGTAAAAAAAAAGAAGAATATAATTTTCAAAGTTTTAATCATCAAATACAACGTCTAAGCTCTACATTAAACTTGGCGGATTAAAATCCATTTATAACGTTGAGATTCTTTAAGCACTTAAATATTATGTATTAGATTTTTTATTCTGAAAACCACTCTCAAGAAAAGTGTGCTTTACTACTGAGCTACCAGAAGCATTCACAGTTTGAGGAAACTTCAATTTTTTAATCGAATTTACTACAAGAAAGGCAATAAAGCGTGTAAGACACAAGGGTGTGGATATTACTAAGGAGCGAGAACAAAATAAGAGCAATCAGGAAGATAATAGATAGCGATTGGCATTACATTTACATTTTTGAAAATTAAATTTGATTTGAAAGCATGAAGCTAAAAGGACGTTCCACAAATGAGATGTGCGAGGAAATTGTTAGCATAGCACTTACGGTTCTAACTTGATGAGACCTCATTGCCAGTCAAGTACTGCGTTTAAATTCAAATAGGCTAAGTTTCATATTGAAGAGCTCATCCGATTAATTAACATGAACGTATTCATAGAAAAGGCACAGAGAGGCAATTTTACTGCGGGAGAAAAGTGACTGAAGCCGAGATACCAGGTCAGGACTAATAATATTGCTGATTTTTTTTTTTATTCTATTAAGAATCTCTGTATATATAGCAGGAACACCAGGCCATATATTGCAGCAATATTATTAGCATGGACGAATGGTAGATTTATGTAAATTAGATTCAGGAGATAAAAAAATGTCTAGCACAACACAGTGTGGCAACTTTTTTAGCATCTCTTTCTCTTCTCAGTAGTAGTAGTAGTAGTAGCAGTAGTAGTATTCCCTTTGATTTGTGGTGTGTACTCATTTCTTTCCGTGTCCATACCAGAGACCTAAGGTTAGAAATGGCATCATGACATTTTCTACTGACCAATTAAAAAAAACAACAACAAAACAACGAGTGGGCTATACTCGTGAGAACAATTTTTTGTATTTCTTTAAGGGCTTCCAGGAATCCCTTCAACGAGTCTACTGGAATATTTTCCAACCAATCCGAGAGCTCCAACCTCATCAGGGATTGTTGATGTTCCCATGTGTCACATTTTTGAGATTTCGATTTGAAGGTCCTTGTATTTTGATAGCTTTTTTGAAGATCTTCAAAGATACATTGCAGACTGCAGGTACTGCCATATCAATAAGGAGGCACTTTTTTTGTTTGCGGTCTCTAATAACAATGTCTGGGCGGTTGGCTTTGATTGTACTGTCTGTGTGTATTGTGTAGTCCCATAAAATTGTAACAGATCCTATCTCCGTAACCGGGTCTGGGTGGTGTTCATATCAATTTCGTTCAGTTTTCTTCCCGTAGAATTTTCAGATTTTCCCGTGCCCACTCTGTCGTTTTGGCCCACTCTGTCATGCCGTATTTTTATTATCATTATTATTATTATTATTATTATTATTATTATTCGTTTTTCAGGTAATGCCAATGATCGTATTTTTTAGCTCTGTCATGTCGATCCTTTATTACTGGGGTGTCATGCAGAGTGTGGTCCGTGTTTTTGGTCGATTCCTTGCTTTCACCATGGACACTACCCCTGCTGAATCAATTAGTGCTGCCAGCAACATCTTTATTGGAATGGTAAGACGTTTCTTTTTAACATAATTTGAAAATCTGAAATTTCTGAGACAGATGAGGAGAAAATCGAACTTGAAGAATTTTGAAGGCGGAGGAGAAGTATCATGATAAAGAGCTTCTTTAGATGCTTGGCAAGATAGAAACTTAGACGATTAGTAAATAAGAGATAAGACAAGACAGGATAATCATTATTTAAATGTACGAAAGAATTTTTGGAGAGCCATGATCGCCTACGCCCTGAAATAACGCGGCAAATAAAAAGAAATTCGAACTAAAGAATCAATAAACTGTGTTTTATATATTTCTTTTATATGTGGTTTTCTTAATATCGTAGAGTTTCAGCAAAAAAGAAATGCTCTCTTTATATAATACGCATTCATTAAAATAACACCGTTAATATTATGTAAAATGTTCATAGATCGAATTTGAATGTTAGGAAGGATACTCGAATAATCCAGAACTTATAATGGTAGCAAAACGCCTGCATACGGATAGAAAATGAGTTCTACAGATATACAAAAATAGAAAGGGGTGTAAGACAAGGATGGGTCTTCTCGCCGGACTTATTCAATCTGAGGCGATTCTGAGTGAACTAGAAGTCCTACCAGGATTTATTATTGGCGGCCACGATCTTAACAACACAAAATATGCAGATAATACAGGGCTGATAACGGACCCATAAAGGAAAATACAAGAAATCCTAAAGAAGGCAGTGAAGGAAAAGCGAAAAGAAATGATTAAACATCACCCGCAAGAATGCATGGTTGTTAGCAAAAGGGGTGAGCCTAAAGTGCAAATTGCAAATCAGGGATACCAAAATCAAATAAGTGCTGAAATTTAAATATCTGGGATGTGTTTTAACAGAGGACGGAAAGAGTGACACTGAAATCCGTAGGCGTATTGAGATAGCCAAAGGTGCTTTCTAAAACTAAGCAGAGTAATAAGAAATAGAAAAATTACGCTAGAAACAAAAGAAAAAGAGTATTAAACTGTTGCATGATATCTGTCTTGGACAATCTCCTCAAAGATGAAGAACAAACTTGGAGCAACATAAATGTGATTCTACTGAAGGATGCTGAGGATATTATGGACAGAACCTATAAATAACTACGACGTTTGAAAGAAAATAGAAATTAAAATGAAACTTATACTTAACATCAGGATGTGACATTTGAGGTTTCTGGGACACCTGATAAGGAAAGAGAGCTTGGAAAATCTGATACTCACAAGACGGATTGAGAGAAAGAGGAACATTTTACTGAAATTTTATTTAAATCACTTTTTTTTAATTAAACGTTTCTCTAAAATCACCTGGAATAAATTTTATAAGGAAATATTTGTATTAAAATGGCGGCACGTAGAGAAGGTTGTTCTGGTGGTGAGAAAAATGGACGATCTTTGGTGTGGGTTCTACATCGGAGATGTCAAAATAAAAGAGGGTTGAGGATTCAGGTATCTGGCCTGAATAATAACAAATGCTTACGGCCACATCACGTTGAAACGCCGGCTCCCGTACTACTACTGAAGTTAAACAACGTTAAGCCTGGTCAGGACCAAGTGGGGTGAACACAGGTGATGTAAACTTGGATGTGCGGATGGCGTAATCAAATCGATAATGGCCGTTGAGTTAATTATATTCACTTAGGAGAAAATACCCTGGCGGAAGAAGAAGAAGAAGAAGAAGAAGAAGAAGAAGAAGAAGAAGAAGAAGAAGGTGAGGAGGAGGAGGGGAAAAGAAAGAAGAAGAAGGGGAAGGGGAGAAGAAGAAGAAAGAAGAGGAGGAGAAGGAGGAGGAGGAAAAGAAGAAGAAGGGGAGGAGGAGGGGAGAAGAAGGAGAAGGAGGAAAAGAAGAAGAAGAAGGGGAGAAGGAGAAGAAGAGGAAGAAGAAGGAGAAGGAGAAAGAGGAGACGACAACGAAGGCGCAGAAGAAGAAGAAGTTGTTTTCCGTTGCCATAGCAGGATATGACAACACAGCTATAAAATTCAAACAAATTCAAATTCAGTTACCAGGATAACCTTTTTTGTACAAAAAATGGAGTCACAATACAGAGTGATAATGGCTAAAATGATTGAGTACGAATAGAGGTGAACTTCATCAAAACAATCACCTTTATGACAAAATCAACATTGCAACAGAGAAAATCGGATAAAAATCAAAACGGAAGTAAGGAAAGACCAACATTATATATATATATATATATATATATATATATATAAAAAGTGAACATAAAGTCAATCGTCCGACGGTCCGGCCAGACTGTTTCGTCTAGAACACAATCGTCCGACGGTCCGCCCTGAGTGTTGCGTCTCAATGTTCACTTTTATATTTATATTTACATACGCTCTATCTCTTATATTGAGCACTTTATCACATAAATATAGTACACCTTAAAACTATGTTTCTTGATATATATATATATATATATATATATATATATATATATATATATATATAGAGAGAGAGAGAGAGAGAGAGAAATTTATTGCCGTTTTGCATTTCTACAAGTTTTTGCTTTGCTTCCTCATATTGGGGCGCTTGTTTTGCAAAAAAGAAAAGAAAATACATATCTACAACGGATTCATTTAATGTGAAAAGAATTATGACTGAACGCGTATAAGCGTCTTTTTTTAAAGCGTCTTTTTTTCACAACGATCACAGTTACAATAAGTTTATTTTTGTAATTTACTCCTGAAGATGTTTTCAGAGGAGATCGAAAGTAGGTAGGGAAAAACTACGGCATTTTCCTTCATCAATTTCATCTTAACATCAAGGAACTGATTAGAAGACTAGAAAGAATTATTATAGAATTAAATAGACATAATATGTCTATATTATTCAATGAAACATGTTTGAATGAATATATGTTTGAATATATATATATATATATATATATATATATATATATATATATATATATATATAAAACATAAAAGAAAATTTTATATTATAAGCCATGATAGATTTAAAATAAAAACAAAAAACACACACCAGTCGACCTTTGTTTAACAATGTTCTTTGTGAACAATGGTTATCCGTTGAACATTGTTCAATCAGTTATTCGGGATAAGACTGCCAGGTTCAATAAAATCAAACCTGCTATAGTGGGTAAATGTCCGGTCTATCTTCGTTTACCGTGGTTGGGTAGGATTAGTGAATCCTTCGCCAAGCGTATTTCATGTAGTTCACGTGAGTGTTATTTTGCAGCGAAACTTTCAAACTAAGTCCGTACTTTCATCTATGTGTAAAGATGTTCTACCCCCCCGACACCATATTAATTCTGTTATTTACCATTTCAAATGTAGTTGTGGATGCGGCTACATAGGTAGAACGACGCAGCGGTTGGACGTTAGAATTAAACAACATGTACCTGCTATAATATTGAACAAAAAATTTTCTTTGGGCGATGCCATTCGTAATACGTTTGGGTCTTCGATTGCAGATCACTTTATAAAGAATCCCACTTGTGCGATGGATTTCAGTGTGAACTGGTTTTCCGTTTTGGCCAGAGCACACGCATTATTCCATCTTAAGGTGTTGGAGACGCTGTACATCAGGTCCAGGCGACCTGCTCTTTGTAAACAAAGAGATTGTTTGCTTGGACTTGCTGTGCTGCGCTTCTAGCATCTTTGTTGGAATATTTTTTTTCTTCTCCCTGTCCATTCATTCACGTTATCCATGACAGATTTTCATTTTTTTTTCTCTTCATAATTTGTGTTCCCCATTAACAGTTTTGATGAGAGGGGACGAAACTGGTCGACTGGTGTGTGTTTTTGTTTTTATTTTAAATCTATCATGGCCTATAATATAAAAATTTCTTGCGTTTTATGCCATAATACGTTTCTGTACTGTTTCAAACATATTTAAATATATATATATATATATATATATATATATATATAAGTATGTATGTATGTATATATAAATAATCATCAGACAGTTTATATATATATATATATATATATATATATATATATATATATATATATATATATATGTAAGTATGTATGTATGTATGTATGTATGTATATATAAATAATCATCAGACAGTTTCTCTCATAATCATAAAAGCATGATTCCCGGATTTACAAACTAACATATATATATATATATATATATATATATATATATATATATATATATATGTACAAGTATGATTGCTGTATACGGAATAAATTGAAACAAAATGGCTATTTTTGTAGTGATTTTTATAACATATTTGTTATAATTTTTAAAGAAAATATATATATATATATATATATATATATATATATATATATATATATACAGTTACATGGATATTAGTTTTAAACCCGGGTTTCACGCTGTTTATCTGCTGATCGCAAAAGCGTGAAACCCAGGTTACAAACTAATATTCAACTATATATATATATATATATATATATATATATATATATATATATATATATATATATAATGAGAGACGATGAGGGCATGAAGAGGGGGAGAGAGAGAGAATAGATTTATTTTTATTACGTTATTTTTTATGAATGTCCTTCAAAGTTCCCTGATGAAGGCAGGGCGACTACAACGACTGTAACATTGTGATAATAATAATATTATTATTATAATAACAACGATGCGGACATAGTCCAAATGTAAATAAAGATTACATATTTGATAAATAATATCTGAATAGATTTAAATTATACTTCATTGTATTTTCTTTATGGTAAAACGTAATTATTGCATAAGTCCAATAATGAATATTTAATCAAATTTATTTGCCTATTTTCTTTTCTTTTTCAGACTGAAGCCCCTTTGATTGTAAAACCCTTCATTACTGAAATGACATTGTCTGAATTGCACGCTGTGATGACTGGCGGCTTTGCAACCATTGCCGGCTCCCTCTTAGGATTGTACATCAGCTACGGGGTAAATTGACATTTTTAATCGGGGACATTTCAACAGTATAGGGACACTCAGACTGAAAGATTTTTCCAAGGAAGAAAGAAATTCACCCGCAGATGCATTATGGGTAATCGAAATTGTGAACCACGAACAGAGAATATATATATATATATATATATATGTGTGTGTGTGTGTGTGTGTGTGTGTGTGTGTGTGTGTGTGTGTAAAAATATATAGAAAATAGGAGAGAACTCGTTAGATAAATAATCCAAAGTTCTTTAGTATTTTTGTTATTATTTTTTAAAAATAGTGCTCGATACAGAAGTAGAGCATAAATATAATTCTTTATTTAAAAATATGATTCCAACGCTACAAAAGAGTTCTCATGTTTCAAAACAAGAGCCGAAAAACAGGAAAAGAAAAATCATTTGGTATACCCCTCCGTTCAACCAAATGGTTAGTATTAAGCTAGGACAGAAATTCCTACTTTAATTGAAAAACAATTTCCTACCAATAGTAGACTTAGTAAAATATTTAATAAAAACACCCTAAAATTAAGTTACAGCTGCACTGAAAATCTAGAAAGTATAATAAAAAAACACAATAATAAAATCCTGAATAAACCCTCATGCCTGAATAGTATTAATAAAAAACCTACACATAAATTATACAAAAATAGTGAAAAATTATATAATTGTAGAAACACGGAAGACTGCCCATTGGAAAATAAATGCCGCGTAAAATCTGTGCTATCTCATCCATTGAGAGTTCTAATACTAATATGATATACATTGGGTCTACGAAGAATGAATTTAAAATCAGATGGAGACAGCATAAGTGCTCCTTCAACAATATAAATAAAAGAAATCAGACATCTCTATCTAAATATATTTGGCATTTGAAGGAAATAAATAAAACATCAAAAGTAAAATGGAAAATTATAAACAAAACTAGAACTTTTAAAATTTGGAATGACCTATGCCCTTTATGCCTACATGAAAAACTACACATTATTAAGTTTCTAAATAATGAAAATTTATTAAACAATAGACATGAGTTAACGGCTTTTTGCCGACAAATCAAATTTTCGCATTGAATAATTAGCATAAAAACAAACAATAAAATAATTTTTAAACTCCATAGTCTAAATAAATAGTTTAAATGCCCTACAAAAAAAAGATAACCCTTTATGAAGTCGTCAAAAAAACAAATGTTAGCGACTTATGACAGTTTTTTTTTTATATACACAAAACCCTTTCAGAAAAAAATAAAAATAAAATAAAAAAATAAATAAATCTCCATAGACACTTAACCAGACTAGACGATGTCATCTTCCGCTTTAAATTTAGACACCAAAAACCTTACCTTAATTTGACCTCTTTGAATGCAACTGAGATATTGATACAAATTATTAACCCTTACGCTCCCTTTTTTTTTTAAATAATTGTTCTAGCCGTTACCATAGTAATTTTAATTTTAATAATGAATATGCTTATAAAACGCGTTCCGGTTCAATACCATCTCTATCGTTACCAGCTCATTTGCAACGTCTGGTTACTGGAGTAACTGCTTTGATCTCAAGTCTAACCTACCCACGTTGTGACTTTGTTCTTAGGTAGATGAGATCAATCAGGGCCGTAGTGTAGGCGGAGTCTGGATTGAAGGTGGCATCGGACAAGCGCAAAAACATAACTAAATAAATAAAAGAAATACCCAAGAGGTCCAAGTATGCTAAGAAATAACAAATTAACTTTATCCTTCTATTATATAAAGGAGTGTGTTTTTCTCCCAGCCCGTTTTCTACGATATGTGACACTTCTACGTTTCAAGCAAGTTGTTATCTTAAGCCAGCTGATTTAGTTCTTAGGTGCTGGCTTGGCTTCGTTTGACAGTATAAATTGCTATTGGTAGGGTAGGCGAAGTCGGTGGTCATGGAATCTCTCGGTCAACTTCTGCGAGGCAACACTCTGGTTAAGCTCTGGCTCTGACTCCAAAACCAGCTCAACTGCAACTCCAAGTCAGAACTCCAATTGACTAACTGCCCGAGGCCGTTCGTTTATATGAATACCGAGCAAAACCCGATGCGGGGCCAGATGCGGTTGGGGTTCTCGGTAAATCTCGATTCCCAACAAGAAATCTCTTTGTTGTCAGGCCAAGAAAAATTTATCACTTCCCATTTTTGGAAAATTATTCACTTTCTATTTCGGCGGGGGGGGTCTCCCTCATCCGTGAGGGAAGGTCGGAGGAGATCTATCCTCCTAGACTCTTCCTCTCTCACATTGATATCTCATATCAATCCCTTCAGTGGTCGTTAATAACTTCTCCGTCCTTATCCATTCACCTCTGCCTATCACCACTGCTGCCACTCGACCAATGGCATCTCGGCCGTGCCGGTGTGGCTAACCTGGCCTCCTTAAAATTATAATCTAGAATTTTTGTTTACAAAATTCTCCTTTTTCCCATCGGACAAAATTTTTACGAATTCCATATTGCCAATTAAATTTCTATCATATCTTTTGGCCACCCAAAATTCACTTAGCCAGCACTCTCTACCGACTCCATCAATCAAAGTTTGCCATCTGGTTTCTTCGTGAAGTTAGCTTTATAATGGAATACTTGGCTTGTTGAGAAATTAAATTCTTTTATCTCGCCAAATCTCAATTCTCTACTCTATTTTCTGTTTCATGCCAAAATTTTACAAACGTCATATTGCTATTTAACGTTTCGGCGTCTGGAGCGACACGTTGATAAGGTAAATAATAACAATCCTCTCACCTATGTCGTGACAATGCCAAAATTTTATAATTGCTTTTCTTTGCCGGTGGCCAAGAAAAAAAAACAAAAAACGATATATATTATATATTAATATATATTATATATTAATATTGATTCTCCCTGCCTGTAACGGTGATCGACTCAAGCCAAAATTTTTATGACCGCCATGGCCTGGCCGATATTTTAATATTTGCCTTTTTTCCTTTCTCCTGCGGCAAGACATTAGTCAACCTGACAAAACTTCACATATGGCTTTTTCCACGGGTTTACTGTCTTTTGAGAAAATTATCTTTTTCAGAAATAAAATCAAATCTTTTTTAACATCGATCAGTATATCTTTCGGAATAGCTCTTTTTCGCCTTAATTATTTCCAGTTTTAAATTCTATGGTTAATTAGTTAGCCAATTACTATAGCTAAATAGTGTCACAAAAGGCAAAAATATAATGAAAAAATTGAGGCCAGCGGTGGACCTAAACTTTGATGGCCATGAAGCTTAGATGTGCAGGTGGTGTAACGGATAATCGCTCGGAATTGTTAATCGGAGAGCGGAGTTCCAATTCCAGTCAGGTTCGTTATAGTCACTTACACACAAAAATCATTGGGAAAGGTATGAATCCATGACTGAATTCCAACAGGAGAAAGGCAAACATTGCATTATTTTTCTTCTGTCATTTCTTCTGGAAAAGGAGCCTGATTCTGACGTACCTTAACCAATTGGGCCACAGAGGAGCGTTCGGTTAGTAAGGTCGATTTTATTGCTTTTAAACCTTGCTAACCGATCGCTTCTCTGTGGCCCAATCGGTTAAGGTACGTCAGGCTATATGACGTTTGCGTATAGGATACAGGTTCAATTCCTGCCGGAGGACGAATATTTTATATGAAAATTTCTCGGACATTCAGACCGGTAAATGTTGTTTATAGTGTTTATTATAAACAGAGCATTTACTTCAATATTTGTATCTATAAAAAAGAAGATATAAACATAAAAATGTCTATAAAATATCTATCTATATATATAATATATTATAATATTTTTACTTTAAAAATATTATTCTTTCGTTACGTAAGAGTTCTCATGTTTCAAAAACGAGAGCCGAAACCATCCAAATAATTGATAAAATCCGGATTATGCACCCAACGTGTTCTTTTCTATTTTCTGCACACCTGAAAATATATATATATATATATATATATATATATATATATATATATATTTCTGCACACCTGAAAGATATATATATATATATATATCTGCACACCTGAAAGATATATATATATATATATATATATATATATATATATATATATAAGCAAATATGTGGATATAGATCCGGCAGTATGAAAAAAACGTCGACATTAAAACAGCAATTTTTGATTTTCCATTTTTCTTCACACACACACACACACACACACACACACACACACACACGTATATATATATATATATATATATATATATATATATATGTTAAAATGAGATGTCAGTGTTATTTTTATTTTTGCGTCATTTAGATGACAATTTATCCATCGTACTCTGTATTTCTTCGTTTGACCTCATCGTGACCGAAACAAATCATACTTATTATAAAATTTAGGTTGTGTGTGTGTGTGTGTGTGTTCGTTTATATATTGGATCGGATTTCCTACATTTTTCAAACGATTTCAGCAAAACTTCACAGGACTACGTAAAATTACCTGGCGGTGGTTCTGACAGCGCCAAAAATTGAAAAAACACAATTGTTTTTGCACGAAATCAATTTGAAAACACGTTTAAGAGGCATCGCTGTCGAGAATGAAATGGGGACAATTCATATCCAGTTATGCTTATAAAACCCAGGTTGTTTGTCTGTGTGTATGTGTGTTCGTTTATCTATGGAATCGGATTTCCTACATTTTTCAACCGATTTCAACAAAACTTTTTTTTGGCAGGTAGTGTTTCTTATTGTCTTGTACGCTTTTTTCTTTATTTTTATATTCAGAATGCTTTAAAAATTCCATTTACAAGACAATTGTTTATAATAAAATTCTATTCAATCGGTAGACTCATAACGATTGAAAACAATGTTTTTGTTTGAGTTTGGGTTTGACCAATTCGTAAAAAAAAAACAAAAAAAAACAAACTAAAAACAAAAAAAAAAACTAATTAAGACATGCGTGTCCGTCAACCTTAAACAATTATCTTTGTCAATTTTTTTTCAGTCTTTATGATGGTCGATACTTGATCTATCTCTTACTGTTACATCCCCGGGCAACGCCGGGCTCTACTGCTAGTTTCTAATAAATGTGTGTATCATTTGCAACAGGTGAAAGCTCAACATATCATATCGGCCTCTGTAATGTCAGCTCCTGCCGCCCTCGCGATGTCCAAGTTGGTCTATCCAGAAACTGAAGTTTCAAAAGGAAATTCCAAAGATTACAACAAACTTGATATAGGGTAAGTCTCTAATTTCCTTCATCTACATTGAAGGGAAACCTGGTTTATAAGGAGGTCGTGGCTGCAAAGCTCTTGATTTAACTAAGCCTATCCAAAAAATAAACAATTAAATAAATAAAAAATTAAAAATAAAAAACATCGAATATTCAGTTACGTCTAGTTTCCGACCGACAAATTTTTGGACCACTTCGGAAAATGTTTTTCGTTTTAGTATCAACACAGTTCCCATGATTTTGCCGTTGCTAACCCCATCATATTTACCTATGGTGGTTTTTGTTGTGTCACAAGGCCAAAAGTTTGGATCGAACTTACTATTCAGTTGTAATTGATCTATCGAGACAGACTTGATACTTATTACACCACGTGGAAATACCCCCAAATGTTCTCATATGTCATATTTGTTTAGCTTTCTCCTTCAAGATCCTTATATTTTGATATTTTTTTGAAGATCTCCAAAATTGTTGTGGAGTTATTTCGCAGTGGAGGCTTGTGTTTAAATCGGTCCTAAATAGTTCGACGTACAAAGAGTTAGGAGCTTGATATAATAGGTATTACGTAGAGTAATCTTGTTGTGGTCGCTGACTACTTTCGTATTCGACTAACTGTCGTCCGACATCGACTAGTATTTAGTTAGCCCCCTCCCCCACGAGGGTATCATGTGGTACAAGGCCGGTTTAACGTGAGATCTCCGAGCCCGTGGGCTCGGCCAAAAATATACCATTTGAATCCGTATAAACGGGTTCTGGGCCGGTTTACCTCCCAGAACGGGTTCCTCCCCGCCTGAAGGCAGAGAGATCAACCGTTCAGCCGGTCGTCCGACATCGACTGACCCTCGTTTCTATTACTACTCCTACTTATATTAGATGGGAGAGTCTATTAACTATAGAATAGGTGTGTTTCACCTTAACAAAACTACATTACAGTCTACAGGAACTGCCTTGTCAATAAAAAAGCACATTCTGTTTTGTGGTCTTTGATCAAAAGTGTCTCGGCGATTATTATTATTATTATTATTATTATTATTATTATTATTAACAATCATTTGTGTATGTCGTGTTTCCTCCTTTGTACCCTGTAGAGCCAGGTTCAAACTATGGTCCTTAGGCTCTACAGGAGAATTGTCATTTAACTGATAGCAATTTTCTTAGTATATGGGATGTTATTATTAGGGCGATATTCTGGACAACATTTATGTCGTTACCTGAGACACTGTTAGTAAAATTGTTCATTTCTTTTCTCACGAGGCCCAGAGCTCCGATTACTATTGGTACTGCCTCAGCCTTCATTCTCTGCATTCTCGTTCTCCAGGTCCTCAATTTCTCAATAATTTTCATGGAGTTGTTTCTCTCAGATGGTACTGCTATCTCAATAAGCATACACTCCCCGAATGTCTTATCTTTTATGATAATGTCAGGTCATTTGCCTGTTATTTCCGTCAATTTGAATTGGCATGTCCCAGAGGATATTTACATCGTTATTTTGGGTAACTGTATCTGCTTATACCATCTCTCAGTGGTTTCGATTTTGTGCTTCTTGCATATCTTCCGGTGCACATATGTCGCTACCTTGTTATGTCAGTGGGTATATTCATTTTTTGCTACTTCCGAACATCCTGAGGTAATATGGTCGAGAGTTTCATCATATTTTCCGCATTTCCTGCATTTCGGTTTAGTTCCAGCCTTGATTATGTGACAGTGATAGGATCTGGTTGCGAGGCTTTGATCCTAAGCTGCAATAATTAGGCCGTCTGTTTCAGCTTTCAGCCTGGTGGTCCTCAGCCATTGATGTGTTTTCTTTTGGTCTACATCTGATTCTTTTGTTCTTCTTATGTATTTGCCATGAAACGCCTTGTCCTCCTTTTGTCATTTCATTTGGCCAAGTTGTTTTGCTTTTGGTCATTATTATTATTATATTTTATTTGATTTCTGGTTTCTTTCCGGGTCCCGCCAAGAGGACTAACGATAGAAATTTTATCATGAGATTTTTCACTGACGAATTAAACACACACACACGCGTGCGCGCGCGCATATTTAAATAAATTAAGCCCTTCGTAAGTTGGGGGCTGTACTCGGGAGAACAAATTTTTGTATTTCTTTAAGGCATAGGCTACCAAAAATGAGTTTATTGGAATCTTTTCCAACCAATCCTAGGACTCCAACTACAACAGGGATTGTTGATGTTCCCATATGCCATATTTTTGAGATTTCGATTTCAAGATTCTTGTATTTAGATAGATTTTTTGAATAATTTAAAGATGCCTTACAGTCTGCAGGGACTGCCATATCAATAAGGAGGTACATTTTTTCTTGCGGTCTCTAATAACAATGTCTGGGCGGTTGGCTTTGATTTTTCTGTCAGTACTGTGTAGTCGGATAGAATTGTAACAGGTCCTATCTCCGTAAACGGGTCTGGGTGGTGTTCATACCAATTTTCAGTTTCCTTCTCGTAGAAGTTACAGATTTTCCAGTGCAGATATTGGTTTACTCTGTCATGCCGGGTTTTATATTCAGTGGGTGCCAATATCGTGCAACCTGATACAAGATGATCAATCGTTTCTGGATATTTATCACAGAATCTGCATTTTGGGCTAACACAGTATTTTAGTAAATGTGCTTGATAATTTCTAGTTAACAAGCACTGATTCTGTGCAGCAAGAATAAAAACTTCCATTTCAGCTTTTAACCAAGCACTACGTAGCCACTGATGGGTACCTGGTTTGCCTAAATCAGCTTGTTTGGTACGGGCAGAGTATTGGCCTTGAAGAGGTTTATCTTGCCATTATTTCTGTATCTGGTCGGTTTTATTTGATTTTCCTTTCTTTTTTATGTATTTTGCACCTTCACTCGGTGTATTGTGATTTACTTGTATTTCTGCACCCATTTTAAACTCCATTTTGAAATTGTTTTATTATTATTATTACGTCATATCAAAAGTATTTTCACTTCTTAAAGATCTTTTCTACCTCAAAATACCATGAAAATATTATTATTATCTTCTCACGGTCTTTGTTTTTAACCAGAGATTCTTGCATTATGGATGTTCTCATTCAAGACGTATAACCTCAGAGAATACCTTTCCCAGGATATTTGCAGCAACGCAAACTTCAGAAGTAACAGGATACGAGGTTTTATTCCAATTTTCTCAATGTAGGATTTCAATTTCGGTTGTTTAGCCTCAGACGACCCATTAATAGACAATGGAGGCCTGGACGGGCCAAATTCTTGCAACTTCACTCAGTTTTTTTTTTTCACCGGGAGAAACCAGATCGATGAAGAGACATTGTCTTGTTTATTTGCCTACGTCGGTGATTGTCTAATCTAGTGACCTCAATGGCGAATCCTGTTTAGACGTTGAAATCTCAAAAAATCTTGACTTGGTCGTTCTCGATCTTCTTTTTTGGCTTCTGGCGGTATCATTTCTTATCGACTTCATGTCTCTTTCACACAGTCGCATCAATGCAGACGAGAGGAAACTTTATCATGGCGACCCTTGTAATCGTGACGCGGAAGCATTAAAGATCGTAAAAATAAAGGCGACATTTTCCACTTCCTTGCAACTCAGCGTGCACTTGTCCGAATCCAATTAGTCGTAGATATTCTTCCACTCAGAATTAGTATTCACAGCTTCGCCTTGTTATTATTATTATTATTATTAGTAGTAGTAGTAGTATTTCTTTCAATTTCTGTTGTATATTCATTTCATTCTGGATCCCAACCAGAGACCTAAGGACAGAAATGGCATCATGACATTTTCTACTAAACATTTTTATAAAAAAATAAAAATAGACAACCAAGCTCAGGCATATTTTACATAGATAAAACCGTTCATGAGATGTGAGCTTCACTTGTGAGTACATTTTTTGTATTTCTTTAAGGTATGGTCTTACAGAGATCTCTTCTAAATGTTCATCAGAACTTTTCCAATCGATCCGAGTGCTCCAAATACAACTGGAATTTTTGCTGTCCTCATGTGCCACATTTTTGAGATTTCCATTTCAAGATACAGTGGAACCTCGGTTCACGAATTTAATTCGTTCCTGAAGGCCGTTCGTAACCCGAAATGTTCGTAAACCGAAGAAAAGCACGGCACAACACTTGAATGTATACAACACGGCAGTCGACTCAGAAATTATTTCGTTCGTGTTAACTCGGTTCGGCAATGTTGTTCGAGAACCGAAATTTTGTTCGATAACCGAGGTAATTTCATATCGAATTTTCTGTTCGAAAACCGATTTGTTCGATATGTGAGACGTTCGAGAACTGAGGTTGCTCTGTACTTGTATTTTTATAACTTTTTAAAGATCTTCAAAGACAATCTTCAGGGGCTTCCATCTCAATAAGAAAGTACTTTTTTTTTGGGGGGGGGTCTTGGCTCACGATGTCTAGGGGGTTAACTTTGATTGTTCTGTTTTGTGTGTATTATAATGTCTCCTAAAATTGTTACGTCCTCTCTCCGTAACCGGATTTGATTGGGGTTCATACCAATTTCTTGCAGTTTCCTTCCCTCCTCATCCTCATCCTCCCCCCTTCTTCTTCTTCTTCTTCTTCTTCTTATTATTATTATTATTATTATTATTATTACATATACATAAAAAGTTAAAACTATTATCATTTTTACCCTTCTAGTACCTGGATTGACAATAAACTCAACACAGAAATACAATATCGAATCAAATTATTGATTTGAGGAGATTATTTGTTCTGCTGCTATTTTTACAGCCATCAGAAGAACACGATCGATGCCGCATCCAATGGAGCCAGCCAATCGATCAAACTCATTGCCAATATTTGCGTCAACCTCATCGCCTTCCTTTCCATTCTCTCATTCACCAATGCGGCCTTAACCTGGTTCGGAGAAAGAGTCAACATTGAAAAGCTTACATTTGAGGTAAGGGTTGGCTTTAGACTAATATAAACCGCCTTTAGTTATTTTCTAAAGGATTCGTGTCGAGAAATGGTGGACACTTGCAAGCTGTTTCGGAAGAGAAAGGTGTCTGATGCGAGGGGGATGTAATGGGTAACGATCCGGATTCTGTGGACGAAATATGTGCTGAAAAACTGCCTTTTCTTTTTCATTTGTTTTCTTTACAGCTACTGGTTTGAATGATCGAGGGAAGTGAACGAAGTTTTGTTTCTTCCATTTCTGAATAGACAAAAAAGAAGGTTTAGAACTTGAACAATTTTTTTGGTTGGTTTATTTTGTTTTACGGCATATCAATACCTCAATGGGTTGTTTAATGCCGTCAAGATTTTTTAGGACAGGTTCGTATCATTAGAAAATGTATTCCTTGTAAGATATCAGTTTATAGATCAGGTATCTTTGACGTTTTTTTTGTAAAGAGGATTTTAGACGAGAATCAAATTTATTGCAGGTAATTATTTTTAAAAATGTATTGCTGCTATTTTTACTATAAAAATGTATTTTTATACTTTCATAGTGTTTTGACACCAGTTTGGGGGTTAACTATTTACCCATCGCTGGGACTCTAATAGGAGCTACCACTCTGGGGCAGAGTGGACCTAGAAACAACAGCAATTAAGAGGTGGTTCCATGCTCTGCAAAACCTCCCGATCAAAGGAGTTTATCGTCTTACCCAGGACGAACCGCTTTTTTTTCTTTTTTTCTTTTTTAGGCGGCAAATAACGGAATAAAATATCTTAGAATCTTGAAACATTACACTTGTCTTGCATTATGGTTCCTTCAAAACAACTCTTGTATTGAGTGACTAAATTAAACATTAGCTCTATCGTTTAACATGTGACCTTGACCTTCACTGAACAAAAGTGACAGGAGACAATATCAGATTTACGGGGACAGTAATCTCTATTCAGATAACTAATAGAGACCTAGAATAACCTGTATAGTTACATGCTTACGGATATATTACGTTGAAACTCGGGTTTTCGTACAAAGACCGAAGCGGAAATAATAATGGTTTAGTTTACTCATTAACCCATAGCTGGGGGAGGGAGTAGATGTGGATTCATAAGGTTATTTGCACGTAAGTGAATATAACAAATTCAGCTCGAAATGAAACTCTATAATTAACACTTCGCGGTGTGTTCGTTAAATTCACATAGACCTTTGGGAAAGATATGATTCCTCTTTTTCTATTTTGTGTTAAACAATAGGTCATGTATCTGGAAGCTTACGGCGACATCACGTTGAAACACCGTTTAAGCAACTTCGAGCCTGGTCAGTGCCTAGATGGGTAACCGGTTGGGTATACCAGGTGGTGTATGCTTGGATGTACGGTTATTTGAATGGACAATGGCTCGGAATTGTTAATCAGAGAGCGGAATTCTAATTCCGGTTGGGTTCATTAGATTCCTTTACATGCAAATAGACTTGGAAAAGGTATGATTCTACATCTTCGCCCTCCAGCTATGGGTTAACTAGTTAGTGTTGTATCACTAAGTCATTTAAAATCTAAAAAAAAAATCTCCCAATCTAAAATCTTTTCTGGCTTTAAATAACCTGCAAAGGGTTGATAAACCGTAGAAAACGAAGCAATGAATCAATGTATAATAACAGAAGACAGGGGTATTGAATAAGTTAGTCGACGAAACAAGAAAGGAAAAAATACTAAATATTAATTATACCTAAATGAAATTAATGGTAGTGTACAAAAGGGGCAACCGTTGTAGGAGTTGCACATTGAGGACGTTAAAATGAAACAATTGCAAAAATTCCATTATCCGTGTAGGGTAATAACAGAACACAGAAAATTTGATGACGCAGAGCAATAGTCAAATATAATTATCTGAAAACAGGTTCTGGGAATATCAGGTGCATAGAATACCAGGTGTTAGGAATACCAGGTGTTAGAAATACCAGATGTTGGGGGATACCACCTGCTGGGAACACCAGGTGTTAGGAATACCAGGTGCTCTGAATACCAGGTGTTAGAAATACCAGATGTTGGGAATACCAGGTGCTGGGAATACCAGGCGTTAGGAATACCAGGTGCTGTGAATACCAGGTTTTAGAAATACCAGATGTTGGGGGATACCACCTGCTGGGAACACCAGGTGTTAGGAATACCAGGTGCTCTGAATACCAGGTGTTAGAAATACCAGATGTTGGGAATACCAGGTGCTGGGAATACCAGGCCTTAGGAATACCAGGTGCTGTGAATACCAGGTTTTAGAAATACCAGATGTTGGGGGATACCACCTGCTGGGAACACCAGGTGTTAGGAATACCAGGTGCTCTGAATACCAGGTGTTAGAAATACCAGATGTTGGGAATACCAGGTGCTGGGAATACCAGGCGTTAGGAATACCAGGTGCTGTGAATACCAGGTGTTAGAAATACCAGATGTTGGGGGATACCACCTGCTGGGAACACCAGGTGTTAGGAATACCAGGTGCTCTGAATACCAGGTGTTAGAAATACCAGATGTTGGGAATACCAGGTGCTGGGAATACCAGGCGCTAGGAATACCAAGTGCTGTGAATACCAGGTGTTAGAAATACCAGATGTTGGGGGATACCACCTGCTGGGAACACCAGGTGTTAGGAATACCAGGTGCTCTGAATACCAGGTGTTAGAAATACCAGATGTTGGGAATACCAGGTGCTGGGAATACCAGGCGCTAGGAATACCAGGTGCTGTGAATACTAGGTGTTAGAAATACCAGGTGCTGGGAATACCAGGTGTTAGAAATACCAGGTGCTAGGAATACCAGGTGCTGGGAATACCAGGTGCTGTAAGCTTGGATGCGCGTGTGGTGTAATATATAACGACACGGAATTATAAATTGGAGTGCCGAGTTCTAATTCCAGTTAGGTTCGTTATATTCATTTAGCACAAGTACCCTTTTGAGGGTATGAATCCGCCACTTCTCCTGCCCCAGGTATGGCTTAATTAATGGGAATAATTCCTCAGTATCTCCCCTCACACCCACCCAAAAATAAGTTCTTATAATCTAAAAATATTTTCTGACTTTAAATAACCTTCAAAAGTTACAGGTTCTATTCCTGTCGGAGAAGCACATATTTTCTACGAAATATCTCGAATATTCAGGCCGATAAATGTAATTAATACTGTTTAATTAAAAAAAAAAAAAAAAAAAACAGCTCATTTAAATAAATAAATTATGTTTATGTTGAAACTTGACTAATACATGGAATAATAATGCAACACAAAATGTACTTAGAACAAAATGTATTGAAACAAGAAAGTGTACACAATATTTACATATAGTCTTTTATATATTCCTGGTAAGACCGTTCCTGGAGAATGTGTTGACTGAGTCGCAGTCGGGCAGAGTCTCTGGTTGAATATTTTGATTCCTCCCTCTCTTCCCGGTAGCAACCATATTTATATGGTCGGTACTCCACTATGCAAATTAGGTGGATCTTACCACAACAGTTTATGAAAATAACGTCTAAACGGAAAATATATTAAAATATTCTTTTATGTATTCTTATATAGAGTGTTTTTTTTTTTCCTTTCAGAAAATCTGTTCTTATCTTCTCTACCCTCTTGCGTTCCTCATGGGCGCCGCGAAGGACGACTGTTTGCAAGTCGCTGAGCTCCTCGGATTGAAAACCTTCTTGAATGAAATGATCGCTTACCAAAAATTGTCACAATTCATTAGCAACAGAAAAGCATTTGAAAATTACACAAGCTACTTCAACAGTTCAGACAGCTGGACATACATTTCAAATGATGTTTACCTCAACCACACACATGAAACATTGTTGGGTGGATTTATGTCCGTAAGCATAAATTATTATATTATCTAAATTTTGCCTAACTAGTTGCTTCATTGAAAATAAAGTCCCGAAAGACATATACAGTGATACCTCGGCTTACGTCGGCTCGAGTTAAGTCATTTTCGAAGATACGTCGTTTTTTTCTTAAATATTATATGGAAAAATAAAACTCGCCTTACGTCGTTTTACTTGAGTTTACGTCGGCCGTTAAAAATATTAGAAGCGTCAAAACATTGAAATAACAATAAACATATATGAAATCAAGTTTAAATAAATTTCAAAATAATATTATTTATATATATATATATATGTGTGTGTGTGTGTGTGTGTGTGTGTGTGTGTGTGATAAAATCATCAATAAAGATCATCATGATAAAGTATGTTTAGCAGATGTTCTTATTTCAAATTCCTGCCGACAGGCGGTAATCGTTTGTTATTTTCCGCTCCAACACCGATTTTGAATTCAGACTTGTGCTCTGGCGTTGACGTTCTTTCAAGTAAATTTCAATTGTGATTTAAAATACATTTTTGCCTCCGAAGAAAATCCCCAGTGCAAGCGCTAATGCTAAGCGTAAGGCTATATCGCTGGAAAATAAAGTAAAATTAATTATTTAATCAGACTACTATACGTAAATATCATATCTACTGTAACAAGCAATGGGGAGTGATTATTTGTGGTTTATAGGGTGGTTATTTCGACGTAAGTCGTTTTTCGAACCAATCAGCGACGTAGGGTGAGGTATATCTCCATATATTTTTAATCATGTCACCCCAAGCAAGACGATAATGCCACTAAAGTGCAAAGGAAACAGAATGAGAAGATTTTGATAAGTAGAAAGTGTAGACCAATGATTCCCACCAGAATTTTAGAAATACAAAAGTGAGGCATGGCTCAATATCGGTTGGAAACCACTGGTTCAGACAATAAAAGTACAGAATTCATGAAAACAGAAAATGGTGATTGACGTTGCATTTAGATTTCTGAAGATAGTAGGTGTCAGGGAAGCAAAAGCCGGAAGAGCTTCTATCGTATCTATAAAGGGCACTTACTCGATCAGATTTTTCTCGAAAGCTCGTATTTGTTTAGTTTCGTATGCAAAACGTAAACAAAACAATTTCTAAAGAATTAAATGGATTTTATTTTTGAATCCAGTATATTTTCATTAATTCAAATTTCCCCAAGTACGCAGTCCGGTAGACGGAATAGATTTAATTATTTACTAACGAAACGCATTAAAATGTTACTTTAGAACTGCATTTGAATCGTATATGCAATTCCAATTAATATTGATAAATATAGTAAAGGTCGTAAAAAATGTATTAGAATTTGTTTTGCTATTTGAACTTATATAATTATTTCGGGTGCTTATTCTTGATCACCAATCCATGTTAAATACTTAGACGGTCGAAGAATGCAACAAAAAAATATAATGATACACAAACTTGTTAAGAATTTATAATTATCGTGAGTTAAATGCTAATAACGCTAAAAATATTGAAAGGGAGATAACTCATTCATAAATAAAATTCAAGGGAGATAACTTTCACGATTTTATTTTTTTCACAACTGTGGCGTCATGAACGAAGACTGAACCAAAAATTCATGGAATTTGACCATGAAAAAAAATGTTCCTCTTAAAATCTTTCCAACCGTTTCCTAATTTAGTTCTCAAGAGAATCAAGGGAATTAAGAGAATAATAATGATATGTTAATTTATCAATATCTATATGGGTCATGTCAGACTAAGTACTATTTATTACTAATACTTTTCACCATCAACTAGTACGGACTTTTACGGCAGCCTTTCACGAACAGTATTTTTTTTGTGTGTGATCTCTGTATAGATACCCAAAAGAACTAAATGGAGGAATTCTTTCCGATACGAAGTGATATCCGAAGATTAATGGAATTTGAATCCTGTAAAATGCAATTATTTCTTGTGGTGCTATTCCACCACCACTATTGTTATTAGCTTCTGTAAAACCACATTTTTTTTGCATGAAGACTACTTTTAATTTAAAGAAACTGCCCAGCATTCACTGATATCTATAGGAATACTGATACTATACAGCAGTTCCACACGCTTTTCTTTGTTTCAAACAAAGTTTTACTGTTTCTTGATACTTTGCTTAGAATTTGGAAGGCACGGATTTCAGTGTCACATCTGTCTTTCTGTGGTCTTATAGCAACACGCAACATAAATACAAGGATTTTGTCCGAATAGCTATTGCAATTGTGTTAATGTTTAATCACAAAACTTATAATACAAAGGAAACTTGAGGGCGCACCGTAGCAATATGGCAACATAGGTGGAGATAATAGACAAAATAATTAATGGATTATCTGATAGTGCGACATCAATAATCTGGAAGCCTGGAGAGCGCACCGTCCGAAAATTGATTGTAGCGATGAAGATTCGGCAAAAGAAGACACCATTTTCGGTTTTCATGCAATAAAACGCTGATACGATTAGAAAAAAAAACATCAAATTTTCTTTGAATTTTTCTTGCAGGAACGATCGGAAATCATTTCAACATATGCCTTGTGTGGATTCGCCAATATTGGATCAATTGGAATCATGATTGGTGGATTGACCATTCTGGCACCACAGAGACGCAATGATTTGGCAGGAATGGTGGTGCGTGCCATGATCGCTGGCAATGTGGCCTGCTTTCTCACAGCTTGTATTTCAGGTAAGAAGTTAGCGCAAGGCATCGACAAATATTTATCGAAGACTATTCATATATCGCAATTAAAATAAAATGAGTGGGTAGGATGGTAGAATGATTTCATGAAAAGCAACTAGAATTAGAGAAGGATAAAACTAGTAATAAAATAATAGTAATAATGAAGAGTGTATAGAGCCAGAGTGTTGGGATAAAAAGCAACAATAATAAGATGGAATAAAACTAGTAATAAAATAATAGTAATAATGAAGAGTGTATAGAGCCAGAGTGTTGGGATAAAAAGCAACAATAATAAGATGGAATAAAACTAATAATAATAATAATAATAATAATAATAATAATAAAGAGTTCAATTAAGTGAAGATACCGTAATTCTATAATGTAATGAACACTCTTTGAAATATATTTTCTCTTTTTTCCTACGAATGAAAACGTTTTCAAATGTATTTTTACTTTTCTTTCTTCTTTTTTTTTTTTTTTTTTTTTTTTTTTTTTTTTTTTGTTTCATGACATTTGTAAAAGCATCCACAGTTGATGAAAGATGATTTATTCTAACCGAACGAGTAACATTTGCTTTGTTTTCCGTTGCAGGCTTAATGATCGAATACTCCTAGTGCGTGATTATCCCCCTTGCACCCGTGGAAAAAGTCGTCTGCAACCCGATGTCACACACATTTTGTAAATCGTTCAGTTCTCCTGTAGAAAACTATATTCATGAAAGCGAACTCAGAAATTAAATATTTTTCCTCAATCAATTCGCATATATAAAACGCATCACATAACCTGACCTCATAATCGCATCTGTACAAAATAAATATCTTAGATTTCTAAAAGACTTTTGAGAGGGACTTGAACGGTCGTGTGGGAAATGAAGAAAAATTTAACGGTGACCAATTTAACAATTTTTCTTTCTATTTGACAACGATTATTCTCATTGAATTCTGTCTAATTCTATTTGTTGACTTAAAACAATTAAAGAGTACAACTTGTAATTCATTTAATAAATAACTTCTCTCTTATCGGCCTACAAGACATTTTACACACATACGCGCACACACACACACATACACACACACACATACGCACACACACTTCTGAATAAATACAAATGGAAAAATTTATCACAGCCGACGCGTTTCGTCCTCTGACCGACATTAGCAAGGCAAATGTGGGAATTTATTTTGTAACAAGTCTT